AAAAAAAAAAAAAAAAAAGAAATATCAATTGAAAGCCTACACAATCAGTTTTGTTTATAAGTGCTCCTAAAAATGCATTTGGACAACTAAAGTTTGCTTTGTGTTTATCAACAAGTATCTAAAATATGAAATATCTAAAACAGATAAAATTGGGGATGACTAAGCATATAATGGCATTTAATAAAATAAATGTATCTATGAATAATTACACTTTCATCTTCCTGTTGTGTTTGCCATGAAAGTGGAAAATTACTAGATTACCCAGAAAATCTGTTGAAGACAGAGGCTGTGTCTGTTTTTTCTTGTATGTCTCCTTGCAGTCCACAGCCCACAGTTCTGTGTGAGACATCTGTCGAGGTCCTGTTTAAGTCGTGTGGCACCAGCATATGGCACTCTATTTTGCTATTTAGCAACTAAGTAGAGAATAAATCTTTACAATGTGTATCAAAGATTCAAAATGGAACACAAAAAGAGTAAAGTCAATTTATTTTAGAATGTAGTTTTCAATTATTGGAGCTTATGAGGAATAGCTAACACTAGGAAACAGTGTTCTTAAAATGAAAAGTGTGATGAAATACCATTTGGTCTTCGTATCCTGATACCAATGAAAGGTTGTCAGATCTTTCTTCATTCACTGACTTTTTCTTTTTGTTGCTCACTTTTGCCTTAGGAGTTTTTTGCAAAAAGAGGGATTTTATTTGCTTAAATAAATATAAATGTAAAAAATTAAAAGAAGAGTAAAGATTAATATTCATGATCTCATCATCCAGAAATGACTATAAATAATTTGGTATTCTTGGTAGATTTGTTTTGAAATCTTGTGTGATATTGAATGATAAGATCTTAAACTCTTTTCTCCTCACACTACCATTCCATTTTCCATTTGAAAATCTTTGTATCTTGATGGGACCCAGCGTTCTATGGCCTGTTATTTGCAAATTGCTGGCATTGGGATTCACTTGATTGCCTTTGTTTTATTGATTCTATTTCCATGTTTTAAGAACATTATTTTAAGTAAGTAAAATTATCTGAAATACAAATACTGTTTAGTTAGTTTTTGATGTAAAGCTTACTTAAACGTTAAGATTTTATTTCATGAAAGGGACAGATTTATTTATTTGAGACAAAGCCTCAAGCTGTCCCCCTGGGTAGACTGCTGTGGCATCACAGCTCGCAGCAACCTCCAACTCCTGGGCTCAAGCAAGTCTCCTGCCTCCGCCTCCTAAGTAGCTGGGACCACAGGTGCCCACCACAATGCCTGGCTATTTTTTTTAGGTTGCAGCCATCATTGTTGTTTGGTGGGCCTGGGCTGGATTCGAAACCGCCACCTTAGGTGTATGATGTGGCTGGTGCCTTAGCCACTTGAGCCACAGGCACCGAGCCAGGGACAGATTTAAAGACTCTTAATATGAAATTAACAATGTCAGAAACTATTTCACCATAGTACATTTCTCTTGGCTTAATCTGGACATAGTATTTTATTTGTTTTTAAGTGATACTTGTGTATTTTACAGCTTTTACTTACTAATATTTTTCATTTGTAATTTGTAAGTGGATTCAGATTTTCTTGAGGGCACTGGGGAAGATATTGGTACTGTTGTTTCTTTGTTCCCAACTTAAATATATACAGATGTCCATCCTTGTCAGCTGCTTTTCTTAAATATTATGTTATTATTTAAATCCTATAAACTCTCATTTAGATCTTGGTTCTTCTCCTTGTAGGATTATAGGGCATTTTAAGAGAAGGGTTCATCCTTTTTTTTTCTATACCAATTTATGTATCGTGAATACAGCAGGTACTTAATAATGATGCCTAAGAAACACACTGTATGTTTTGCTTAAGATAGCTAAAAGGAAACATGAGGTCAGTAGGTAACATATTTTTGTGGTCCTGGTTTAACCTTAAGATTACTTAAAATCCCACTTTTTGTATTTTTTTTTATATATATAGAAATGCTTCCATCGTTTCTTCAGAAAGTTGAAGTTGTCTCTGAAGCTTCTAGAGAAACTTGTGCAGCTTTGAGTGATTGCCTTAATCTCTTCACTAAACAAGAAGGGGTAAGTAGTTTGGAATTGAATTTTTAGAATAAGTGTTTGGTTGTCATGCACTTGATCATCCGGTAAGTCATTGCTTTCAAACTGCTCAAAAGTGGGAAAAAATTCTGTTAACAGAAGAAATGAAAACTCATCTTCCACCTAAATTTATAATTTTATTTATACTTAATGAAGCAGGATGATACTGAAATAACTTGTTTTTAAGTCTTTGGAATTTTTTGATATAGTTGTACTTACTATAAGTAACTTAAATTGACCTATTGAGGGTTGTTGTGACATTTCAGTAAGAAAGATGTGTAAATATTCCAGAAGGAGAAGGTCTTTATGTGAAAAACATATAACACTTTTAAAAAATACCTTTAGAAAATGGAGTACTTAGTATGTAAAATGAGCTCAGTGGATTAAGTGGTTTCTGTGTTCTTTCCCCCTTGCTTTCTTCCCTTCATCAATTTGCCACTTGCTTTTCCAAATTCAGGTAAGGATGGTGTGCTTATCTATTAATAATTATTTTTCTGAGGACTGAAAAGTTGTAAAGATGTATTTTGGTTGCCTGAACTAGAATTTTTCCTGTTTGATGTTTTTCTTTTCCTCCCATTTTCATGATTTTAACGTAAGCAGTATTAATAGGCTTTCTTTTCCACTTTGCTAATTTCTACATAGACTATATATGTGTGACTTCAGCTTTTTAGACTAAGATACCAAATTTCTTATTCTATTACAATTTATTTGTACATTTTTGTTAGAGATCAGGTTTTGATAAAACAAGATAGATGAAAATGGTTTTATAAATATTTCTCTAATATTTAAAGATCTAAAATTCCATTTTCCCATGACTAGAATGTAAACCTTGTGAATTTATATACAATGTTTTAGATGCTGTGTTTACTATATGTTCTACTAATGATACATTTTAACTTATTTGGAGAATAAGAAAAATATGGAAGTAGTAATGTGAATTCATTTAAAGGAAACTTACAGAAAGTCAATAGAATCCTATTGACTATCAGGAGAAAATGGAATTGTTCATTAAACATTTTAAATGCTTGATTTTTCTAATACTGTTTGAAGATATCCCTTCTCAGCATTTCTATTTTTGGTGGCTTGCAGATTTCATAGCTAGTTTATTTAAATGAGGATTGATTTAGTGTTCTAAGTAAATCTGAATAGGATGGTTGCATTGTAGAACATCTTTGAAATTAATATGATATTGCAGAATTTGTGTAGTATTTGTTTTAGGACATTGCAAAATCAAATTTCACTTGTCTTTTATGTGGTATCTGATACATTGATGGCTTTTTCCTAGAGATATAAGGCTGAACACAAGATCAAAAGTGGTGTGTTATGTTGATGTTGTGTTTAATTTCTGGAATAGTCTACCTATTGTGATTTTTAAGCTATCTGCTTAAAAAAAGAGCCTAAACCTCTCTTTTTGTGAAAGTCTAGTTTTTCCAAGAGTATTTGCCTAAAGTTTAGACTAATTAACCTCTTAGCCTCTTAAATTTGTCAAGAGGATTAAAAGGGATAAGCAAAATGCTTAGCAGGTGCGTGACACATAGTAAGCCTTGAATAAAAGTCAA